TACAGATAAAAATACGCTGGCTTTCTTACACGTCATTCCCATTTTTAACCAACACAATTCTTTGATAAGACCAGAAGTGCTTTAATAAAAAGTAATGCTATTTTCTACAGCATTGATAGAATATCATGATCATGTGTGTCTGCATAAAATTCAGAAATCCTATCAACTTTTTGTAAAATAACTGCTTTACATTTTCACAGTTCTAAATAATTATGCTCTCTAGATTCTTTCCTAGATAGGAAATTCTGTTAGAATAATAATTACATAGCGAGTCTTTTTACTAAATTCCCTTTGAATATCCTATTGTTTTTAAATACATTGGTCAAATTTTCCTTCATTACTTTCAACAGAAGACCAAATAAAATTTGAGCAAAATGTTTATGCTGCTTCTTGAAAGTTTCTGTCTATAATTGGAAACTTCTGGACAACCTCAATTATCCAAAAACATTTATACAGAGTCAACATAGTAAAGCAGGAAAAAATTTTAATACAAAATTCAATAGAGAGAGTGCCCAAATTCAGTAGGCAATATAATTTGAGCATTATAACAACAGGGTACATGATATGCAGATCACTGATTTATGCTGAAAGTTTTAAAATTTATGACTAAATAAACGTATGTGGATCCTTCAAAATACAGAGGACCGGATACATTTTCACTTCGGACACCATGATGCCAAATGACGTCTGGGAGATTCTTATTAATATGTTAATATAGGACCAGAGGCAAATGGACCTTTTATAGGTGAGAAGACAGGAGGATGGATAAACATCTTTTCATTCTCTTCTAGTCTCACAAGGAAGACTGGCTCACACAGACTGCAGGCGAGAACACACACATCTGACATTCTCAACCTCACAGTTCCCTACAAAGGCCATGAAGCTGTAGGAGAAACACTAACTTTCACTCACATTCAACGAAACAAGAAATAACGGGTTCCTAAAAATCTGCCCTTCTTCCAAGGGAAAGCACACAACAAAAATATTCTGTCATCCCCAGCAGAGGCCTAAGTAAACTATGCTTGCGCACTGCAAAGCCAGGAGGAAGGACAACTGTGCCAGCTATATGAAATGGATAAGAAGAAAAGGGGAACGGCATGTTAAAAGAAGAGATACTGATGTGTGTTAAAGAGTAACATAAAGGGGAACAGCAGAGTAATAATTCTATCACCACCTCTGCCACAATTGTCTCCTATGCTCTCATGAAAAATTCTTGAATTCTCCTTGGTCTCCATCTGCAGAATGCTGCTATTTCCTTGTTTGACACAGATACTGCCAAGTGCTCAGACACAAAATTCCTACAGCAAGATATGCACTTCCACTGAATAGCATGCAACTCTTTTCAACTTCTCATTTATAATAGTTTGAATGAACTGCTTTAAATGAGACGCAGGGCTGCAAATGAACAGTGAATATAAACCTAAGTATTAAATGACCCCTTCCTTTACTAAGTTCTGTCATTCCTGTGCAATGAATGAGGCAGGGATCCTGTGGAAAAAATAGAATGTAAATCTGTAATTAAATACATACGCAAAATAGGGAAAAAAGAAAGAGCATGAAGAATATTAATTTGGGCATTTCCTAATCCCTTACTCCTTCATTTTACAGTTACAAATTAGTCTCTGTCCTCCCATCCCTTACAGAGAGAAAATTCATTTCAAAAATAGGTATTTTGGAATGTGGGATAATTTTGAGGAGAAACAGGACACATCACTGAGTAACTTTAACAGTGAATGAGACAGAAACCTCATATCTTATTCTATACGCACCCTTTCCTATGTACATAGGAAAGTCTCTGTAGATATATCAGGACGGAAATACGATACAAACTGCACATGGATCAATACAATAGAAAAATGAGAATCATCTATTCAGCAAAAGTTTCCACTCAGATTAAATGCTTTCATTCTCCAAGCCAAAGAAATATTGGAGGTTGATTTGTTTAACTGTACAACATATCCCATTCACAAAATGAAACTGCAAAAACCCCCAAAGTTTCACTGAAGCAGACTGGCAATTAAGGAGATCCTTCCTTTTAAACACCAAGCTTTCATCACCTTCAATTGAAGTGCTAGAGCTCTTCATGAGAATAGCCAAAATCTCAGCTACCTGCAAAGCTACGTTTCCCCCCAATCTGTTTCTTGTTGTGGGGTTTTGCTTTTTTAATGGCTTATCCATATCTTATAAAATTTTCAGGAAACAGGATTTGTTCCTTGCCTGGACTCATTGCTACCAAGTTTCAGCTGCAATGACAAACTGAGCAAATTTTAAGAATCTGAAATAACCCATGGAAAAACTTGACTAGCTTTAGTACAGGCACTGTAACTTACTCTCTCTGAAAATAAAGTGTTCACAAAGCTCAGCACAAAGTTTAAAACGTGAACACAAAATTTTACTCTGGTTCATTATTAGAAATAATGGATTATTAAGAACAAAGCAAAGTGATGGCTAACTGCAATCTGTCATCAGTGAATCTAAATTCATTGTGTACTAGAATGTTGCTCCTGCTACAGAAATGCATTTACGACCTAACAACACAAAACAGTTTCCTAATTCCCCCACTCAGAGTAGGTATCTATTATTAGTAATAGAAGTAAGTTTTCCAAATAGGGCATGTGAATTTATCTTTTCTGGTTTTAGGAAGAACAAATAGTTTAAAAAAAAAAAACAAAACTGAAAAAGTGCTGTTTGTTGCTTTACGTATGTATAAACTGACATGACATTCTGTTTCATGGTTGCACTTTTAAAATGTCAAATGATCAGAATAAGAATTTCCATGCATTTTGGATAAACAGTAAGTAAACAAGTTTAGAACAGGAACTTAAAAGCAAAAAGTACAAGTAAAACATAATACAGATGTTACAACTATAACAAAAATAAATGATCTCAGAAGCCCCAAATTACTTCTGCTTTATGTATCAGGAGACATCTCTATCAGGACAAGCCTAAGCTAAGGAGAGGCACTAGTTAGAGAACAGACAAAGATTATTTCAGTAGTATATATTTTAAACCCTGATTCAAAAGCTCCTGAAAATCTGTGATCAGTGAAAGAACTAAATCTACAGGTGTATGATCTCTCCTCTCTGGCTATTAAGAAGTTAAGTTCACTCAGCATTTTTAACTGGAGAGCCTTGAAGTCACAGTTTAGACCTCTTATTCCTCTTCTGTAAAAGTGTCGATACTTAGAGCTGTGGTGAATGCTTTTGGTCTTTTAAGGATAACAGAGAAGACAGCTACAGGCAGGTTAGAAGTCCCTATACATGTGTAGCGACTTGTTTTTATACATTTTTAAACATAACACTCCCTTATCTTTCCATCAAATACTATCCTAGGTTGCTTTTGTTGAATATTTCCAGCAGCCTATTGCACACAGTGCATCACGAGCTGCATGGCCTGAGGCCAGGAAGGAAGGTGTGGAACATGTCTTCACAGGTCCATTTCCAGCCTCCAAGTATTTGAGAGAAGGTCATGTTACAGCACAGATTTACATAGCAGACAAATTACATGACTGCCCATTCTCAGCATTTCATAATTTCAATAAAAAATTAGGTCAAATGAAAGGAAGGGGAGGGGGAGAAGCTTTCACAGTTGTCAGGAAGTTAAACAAAAAACTTACTTAGCTGTAGATCTTGCCGAAGCATTGGTAAAAATCTGTATTGACAGTAAACACAAATTTAAAGTATTTGATACTTTCCTTTACAAAATCTTTTTCTTTTTTAATGCCTCTGAACAACTATAAACCCAAAATGTGCCATATTGCTCTTTTAAAACACTGTTTTTATTATCATTGGTCCAAAACACATGTATGCGTACAAACATATTATCAAGGAACTTGTTACTCATTTCAAGAGCTTTCACCCACAGTCTTATAGTCAAGTAAGAATGTTAAGAGAAGGAACTGTTCTTTGTATCGTCTGTGCGGATGAAAAGAAGAATAATTTGGAATAGCTTTTTCCTCCTTCAAAGCCTGAAATATAGTGCACTTTGAAAAGGGCAGTATTGGCCAGCCTCAGCACTGCCTGACATTATGTTTATACTAGATGGAGACTAAAATTACAACGTTCACATCAGGCATTCTTTGAGTACAAATTGGCAAAATAATTAATTTTTTAAAGTTTTTTTAGAAAACAATACTATGATATTTTCAGGATAACAACAAAATACTTTCCAATAGCAATCAAGGATATCATAAGGTGAAACAAATTTCAAAGTGTTTAGGTATGTATCCATATATCTGTATTTCTCTTAGCTTTCAAGACATACTTGCACACAAATTCCTACCAATATCATATACTGTACAGCTAAAATATGCTAATCGTTATGCTAGATAACTTTCAGGATTTGTTTCGACACAGTCAAGCAGTTGTAGGGTTTAGACTGGCATATTGCTGATACTCTTATTGAGCAAGCAGAAAGAATAAACATTAACAGTGAAATGACAGGCTTCAATATCTTCAATTGGACTTCAAATTATTTCAGTTTCTAAAAATGACAAATATGAAATCAGATTTACTCCCAGCAGAGCAGTAAGTTTTAAGCTGATGTATTTTTAAAAAGGATTGTAGTTTTAAGAAACTCCTGAACAATTTTTTTGAAGACAGATTCACTGCGTTGGCTAGATTTTTATGTGCATTTGACACCTATTCAACAAGCAAAAAGAAGAAACGGAACTTTTTGTGGAAGCTGACATTTTGTCTATTTACCAACACAAACTCTGAGGGATTAAATCTACCAAAAACTTCAGCTTAACATGTTGTAGCCCTGCAGCTGAAAACTCAGATGAAAATATGGGAGGTTTTTTTTCTATGACACAAAAGGAACTTTTGGGAACATTTCCGAAGGATACCGGAAAGCTTGTCTAACATACAATGGTTCCTACTCAGCACAGTCCTCCAAACAAAGAGTAACAGATGCACAACTGGTATTAATAACAAAACATCTCCTCCCTCTGTTAGTCAAGAGAGGACAGCTAAGGACAAATACAGTTTCAGGGTACTTACCTACTCGGAAGTTAGTGGCTGTCAGAGTGTCAGCAGCATGGCCGTTTTCACTAATGAGGGTGGTGGTATTTCCCTTCTCACAGTTGTTCTGACAGTTGCCTTTGGTACAAGTCACTTTACAGATGCTGGGTGTAAAGACCACCTTGATGCGACCAGTGTGATTTCCCACTGTCAGCAGAGGCAAAGAAAACAAGAAAAATAAACAGATCACTTTGGTATCCATTGATTTCCTTAAAAAAAAAAAAAAGGAAAAAAATAAAAAGGCGGGGGGGGAGAAAAAGGCGACAGGTCTACAGGAGGAGGGCAGTCTGCAGTGCTCTCTCTCATAGATCTCCAGTGGTGTCTCTGAAACAGGAGTAGGAAGCTTAGCAAACAGAACTCCGGGATCCGCTCCAAAACCACATTTAAAGTCAAGTCACTGGAGTGGGATTAGTAATCACAATGCTGCACTTTATTCACAGGCAGACAAAGAGCAATACCAAGGGCATGACAGCTTAAATAGCCAACCCTGACAGGCAGATGTAATGTAGAGAGGCTCGCTGTGCACCTAGGGGTGAATAAACTCTTGTGTCCTCCTGCATACTTTTCCTGTTTCTGCACTTATTGAGTCACTATTTGTAGCTCGACCCCTGGAAATGTTTTAGGCATGCGGCATGTCTGAAAACATCTGTCTCAAATCTCCTGGCACCCCAGCCCGAAGTGGTCAAACCTTGTGATGCAGCTGCCTGGACCCATTTTTTCACAGTTTTTTGGCACTATTTTTCCACAAGGATTTACATATTATAGACTGAGCTTTACTGTCAGCCTTTAAGTAATAAATAGCTCAGAGAAAAGGGTGAGTGTATCAATGCTTGAAAATACTGGTTCTGAGCTCAGAGATAAAAAATGGCTAGATTCTTCTTTTTTCTATATATACACTTCCTTACAGTCATTTTTAAAACGTGAATGTAATAAAGACTGAGCAAACATTAATTTTAAATTAAGACAATTAGAGGAACTTCTCGTTACAGAGTTTAATTTAAAAACAGATGTAGTTGATTCCACATCTAACAGCTGAAGACAAAAAAGAGATTAAAACTACTCATTAGGAAAATTA